TGTACTTTAACAGTTTCTCCCTTTGCTGTTAAGCACAGCACGAAATAAATCATATCTACATGTCTAAGTTTGATTGAGATAACGGAATTATTCTGTGGCGCGGCTGTGGATGGCATGTAAAGGAATAGCCTTTTTGCCCTCCAGCATTGTACGCATGCTCGAAATTTCCTTATGTAAACAATAACGTGCAGGGGGTCTAGATTTGTAAAACCGATTATAATTAAGTCGGTGCCTCTCCAGCAATGAACCTCACCGCACGTCACCATTGTTGGTATATTCCAGAAACAACACAAAAATTACATAAAATTCCGATCTGAAACCAAAGTATCAATCTTACTGGTATCGATCTGAAACTGACACCGTTTTGGTATTGATATTTTTGATATTGGTTCTCAGTGAATTTACAACCTCTTCTTTAGAGTAGGAAATTTTTAGTCCTTATATGTGTTATACCAGTGACGTGTGGTGAGGTTCATTGCTGGTGAGGCACTGACTTATGACTTAGACACCATGCATGTTATTGGACGTACGGAAATTTCACGCAGGCATACATCGCTGGAGGGCAAAAGGACTAACCTTTTATATGTCATCCATAGCCGCATTAACTCAGTGAAACTTAGAAATGTAGATATTGATTTTGTGCTATGATCCACAGCAAAGTGATCTGTATTCGCCACGCTATGCAGACTCGTTGCCATAGCAACTGACAACAATGCCACTTCATGTTTTAGGATTTAACGCCAAAAAAACATTCAAGAATTTTGCACACAGAACAGAACATTCAGTCGGTTGCTGTAGTACGTTTTAGGCTTAATGTTTAATTAATAAATAATTGCTGTGGTAGATTAGCTACCGCTTCTACTTTTCTGAATTATTTAGACATACAAACTGTAGCCCACAAAACGCACATTTCATAAAAAAACATCTTATTGCTGTCTTACCTTTATGTATCAATGAAATCCATGTGCCGCTAATTCTGCAGAAAAATATCCGTTCATCCAAAGCCAAGTCTATCCTCGGCATGTCTTTTCTACTCCGTTTGAGAATCATCAAACTGTCTTGAAGCAAAACTTTCAGTTCCGGTGTTGGTCTTCCTTTAGTTATTATCTCCTGCTTCAATTGAAAATCCACTTTAGAAAACTGTTTAAGTGTAGAAATGTAGTTTTTTATGTTGACGTCGGAAGAGAGGAGAAAACAAATATATCGCTGTACTTTACTTATTTACTGTATGGCTAGCTCCATGACTAGCGCACTGTGTCTTACTCTGTAGTTGTGCAGTCACAATATCTGGGATCATGAGCGCCCCCAGCGATGAAGCAAGAGAACTGCCTGCCTCACCTCAAGTCTGTTCTCTGCAGTTTCTGATCGCTCCTCCGCACACAAAACACGATACACACACAGTTGGTGACAAAAAACACTGTACATTATATACATAAGCTAAATTATGGAAAATCAGTCCATATATTAAATGTTTTTTAGCCATTTTATTGCTGGCGTACAGACAGGACGAACATGCTCCCATAGAATGGCAGCCAGTGCAGTTAGCGAGAGGTTGCACAATCCCAGGTGAGGCTCAGCTTCCTGCTG